TGTGTGTGTGTGTGTGTGTGTGTGTGTGTGTGTGTGTGTGTGTGTGTGTTACCTCCAGAGTTTCTTGTTTTCTCTAGTGGACCTACTCTGCTCTTGATTGATGGGCTACTTGTGGCTAAGGACAAGTGCAGGGTTGCCATCTGTAACACGCATTAGATCTCCAATAACTAGTTTAGGTTTTGTTTTTTTGTTTTTTGTTTTTTCTAGTTGCTCTGACAAGAAATACATGGTTTGTGCTGTTTGCTGCCAGGGTATGAGCAAAACCCCTTAGGAACTTTCCCATATGCAAAGGATTGTCTCAAAGGGAATTTTCCAGCAGCAAGGGATTACCTTAAATACCTCTTGTAGATCTGTCACTGTGGATTTTATTTCTTAAGAGGAGGGAATCTGATAAAAGCTGTTCCCAAGGGGAAAAAAAAAAGAAAAGAAATGGGACCTCATGAAACTGAAAAGCTTCTGTAAAGCAAAAGACACTGTTGTCAGAACAAAAGGACAACCTACAGACTGGGAAAGGCTCTTCACCAACCCTATATCTGACAGAGGGCTAATATCCAGAATATATAAAGAAATGTTCCCTGTCTTTTCCCTCTTCCGATGTCTATCCAGTTTACCTTTCTAAATAAGGATTTATCATCTTACCCAGGGTCCTCCTTCTTGCTTAGCTTCTTAGGTGTACAGATTTCAGTATGATTATCCTATATTATATATCTAATACCCACTTATAAGTGAGTGTATACCTTGTGTGTCTTTCTGCTTCTGGGATACCTCACTCAGGATGATCTCTATTTCCCACCATTTGCCTGTCTATTTGTTATTTTTTTAATTTTTTATTTAACTTTTATTAATTACACTTTATTCATTTTGCATCCCCTCATAAGCCCCTCCCTCCTCCCCTCCTGATCCCACCCTCCCTCCCCTTTCTGCATGCATGCCCCTCCCCAAGTCCACTAATAGGGGAGGTTCTCCTCTCCTTTCTGATCTTAGTCTGTCAATTCTCATCAGAAGTGGCTGCATTGTCATCTTCTGTGGCCTGGTAAGGCTGCTCCTCCCTCAGGGGGAGGTGATCAAAGAGCAGGCCAATCAGATTATGTCAGAGGCAGTCCCTCTTCCCATTACTAGGTAACCCACTTGGACACTGACCTGCCATGGGCTACATCTGTGCAGGGATTCTAGATTAATCTTCTCCATGAATAGTCCTTGGTTGGAGTATGAGTCTCTGGGAAGTTCCCTGTGTTCAAATTTTCTTGTTCTGTTGCTCTCCTTGTGGAGTTCCTGTCCTCTCCAGCTCTTGCTATTTCCCACTTCTTACATAAAATTCCATTCATTCTTCCCGACAGTTGGCCATCAGGCTCAGCATCTGCTTTGATAGTCTGCAGGGCAGAGGCTTTCAGGAAAACAACACCCTTCACAATAGCCACAAATGACATAAAGTACCTTGGTGTAACCCTAACCAAGCAAGTCAAAGACTTGTATGAAAAAAATTTCAAGTCTCTGAAGAAAGAATTAGAAGAAGATATGAGAAGATGGAACGATCTCCCATGCTCATGGCTTGGCAGGATTAACATAGTAAAAATGGCCATCTTACCAAAAGCAATCTACAGATACAATGCAATTCCCATCAAATTGCCAACACAATTCTTACAGACCTGGAAAAAAAAAAAATTCTCAACTTCGTATGGAATAACAAGAAACCCAGAATCGCTAAAACAATCCTCTACAATAAAAGATCTTCTGGAGGTATCTCCATCCCTGATCTCAAGCTGTACTATAGAGCAACAGTTATAAAAACTGCATGGTACTGGTATAGAAACAGAATGGTGGATCAATGGAACCGAACAGAAGACCCAGAAATATTTGTTATTTTTAACCCCATTCTATATCCTTGTTTCCTTATATCTAAGGGAAAAAAACTTAAATAACATTTTTCATTCTGACCAAGCCTGTGTTTCTAAGTACTTGCAGCCTTTGATATTTAGATTGAGTTTGAACTAGTGCAGAGGAGCCTGCGCAGCTGGATCCCCCCATCCCAGCCACAGGCTTGCTCTCCACCCACTATGTTGACTGTCACAGCTTACAGGTGAGTTTTGTAGCTGTGGTGTGACTAAGCAAATGGAATATAGGGATGTGGACACCGGAATGTTGAAGGGGACCGAAGAAAAGATGAAAGACTGTGAGGTGTGGAGCAATAACTCAGTGTGTAAGGGAGCTTGTTGCACAAGCGTGAAAACCTGAGTTCACATGCCAGCACCACAGTGCGGGGAGGGACATGTGGCTGCCCGTGTGTCCTTCACCCTAGCACTGTGGGGAACACAGAGATAGGAGGGTCCATCTCTGCTTCAGCTTCAGTGAGAGACTCCAAGGCAAAGAAACAGGGTGGAGGGTGAGACAGAGTGCACCTGATGTCCTTCTTTGGCCTCTGTGTCCACAAGCATGTACATCCAAACCTACAATACACGCCACAAACATACAAAGAAGAGAGCTGGAAGTACAATCTCAGACTCCTCATGGGCCTTTCCTGTAAATACGTGGGAGAGAAGCTCTCGCCTGATTCTTCTATAAGCTCTGAAGGCTCAGCCCTTGCAAATGATGCCTTTGAACTGAAGATGATTAGACATTTGTCCTGTACAATGGCCTGTTGCAAAGATTTCTACATACTGCATTATAAAAAGTTCTACAAAGAGAGAGCAGCTCAGTGGCTCTCAAAACCTTCTCAATGCTGTGACCCTTTAATGTAGCTCCTCATGTTGTAGTGACCCTCACCCAACCATAATATTATTTTTGTTGCTACTTCATAGCTGTAATTTTGCCACTGTTACAAATCGTACTGTAACTATCTGATATGCAGGATGGTCTTAGGTAACCCGTCTGAACCGGTTGTTTGACCTCCCCAGAGGGGTTGTGACTCACACGTTGAAAACTGCTGCTGTAGCTCATAGTAAGCTTGTTCTCCAGGAAAATCAAAACAATTCTAAGATAGATAGAGAGAGAGATAATTAGCTTACTATGCAAATCTCCTTAAATTTTGATAGTTTATGTCAATGTTTTTACTAAGCTGAATTCATTTGCATTAAGGGTGGTTTGTTCTAATCTTCACTTCTCCAATTATTTCAGGATGTTCTGATGCTAGGTGCAGTGGGAGCTTTTGACTGGAGTGGAACTGTGGTCCAGGAGGCATCTCATGAGCACTTGATCTTTCCTAAACAAGCCTTTGACCAGGTTCTGCAGGACAGAAATCACAGTTCATTTCTAGGTGAGGCACAGCAGCAGTGGCACAGGCAGTTCTCGGGTTCTTATCCATTAAACTCTCAGGTCAGCTCAGCCTGTAAACTGTCCTCTAGTTAACTTGTTTGTAACCCACAGCTGTTACCTCTTTGCCAGTCAGGCCTCATCCCTTAAGTAAGAAAAGCTAAGTTTTACACAGAAGTCTCTGTAGATGTCTGTTAGGCTCTTATGATCTACAATGTTGTTTAAATCTAGTGTTTCTAAAACACACAAATCTGCTCAGGCAGATATCCCTGGAACATGGCTGTTTCCCTAAAACAGAAGTTGTTCCTCAAAGGCAATACAATAAATAGTGGCCTTCTATTGTTTCAGACTCCTTAGGGGGTTTTGTTTGTCATTGCTGATGTTCATGTGATAAGCATCCAATGATGTTCATTACTGCTGTGGGGTATTCTGTCTACACAAATCCTTCCAAATCCTTTGAAAGCCAGTGACCCTAATAACATTTATCAGCTCCAACAACCTAGCAAATTAAAAACCCAGAGCACAAAGCTAGACCTCTGTAACTCCAGGGCCTGCATTTTTTCCCATGAAATAGCATTAACATTTCATTTATTCATTCATTAAGCAATTGTTAAAAGCCAGTGTATTTGCTTTATTTCCTGTTGCTACAATAAGTTATGCTGACAAGGGCCACTTAAAGAAGACAGGGTTTAGTTGGCTCACAATTCCAGGCCACAGTCTATGATTGTGGGAAAACCAAGGCAACAGGAACTTGACACATTGCATACACAGTCAGGAGCAGAGAGAAGTGATTTAAGGGATACATGCTTGCTCTTAGCTCACTGCCTCTACCCTTATCCAGTTCAGGATCCCTTCCCTAAGGAATGGTGACACCCACAGTGGGAAGGTCTTCCCACCTCAATTACTCATTTAATGTAATCAACCTAATTCCTCACAGCTATGCCCAGGGACATACCTACTCTAGCCAACACCTCACTGGGCCTCTCCTCCCAGGTATAAAAGATCGTGTCAAGTTGACAATTAAAATGAAGAGTTAGCTAGGCTTGTAAGTAGCTAAGGAGAACAACCCAGGACCAAGGGACAGCTTTATAAATGGAATTCCTGTCGATGCTACCTAGAACTACCAAGGAAAAGGCATGAAGACTCATCTCAGCGGTATGAGTAGTCATCACAGCTAATCAAGACTTCCGAGCATCTCGGCTACCTCTGAAAGGCCTCTCTGGCAAATCCAGTGATGCTCAAACTGCTTCTCCCCTAGGTTATTCTGTGGCTGCAATCTCTACTGAAAATGGTGTCCACTTTGTAGCTGGTGCTCCTCGGGCAAATTATACTGGCCAGATAGTGCTGTACAGTGTTAACAAGCACGGCAATGTGACAGTGATTCAGTCTCACAGAGGGGACCAGGTAAGTATCATTACTAAGCAAGTGAAATGAATTTTATGGATAACAGGGATAGGCAGACAGCTGAGTGAGTAGAGACTAGTATTTACTGAGCGGCTCCTCTGTGTCTGAATATGTCACCCTAATTGACTCATGCCTGTGTTAAACCCTTACAATAGAAGGCTCACTGGGATTAGGTCTGATCTGCTATTGCCATTGATTTTCTAGGAGTAAGGGGACCAGAAACTAGCCACAAACTACCTATCAGATCATACTTTTGCCTTCCTTTTCGTAGTTTAAAGAATGGTGTGCCTATTTTGAGAGAAAAACAATGACAGCGTTAGAGAAGAAATCACTCATTAATCTTAAATCCTTAATAGATGTTTACACAGGCACTCAACGTTGATGGATGGGATGGCCCTCAGATGCCAGCCCTTCTAATTTTACTTTACCTCTACCTAATTCTCTCATCTTTTCTACCTGGCAACATCACCTTGCTGGACTACAACACTGGCATTCATGTTTCTCTTCACGTAGGGAACTCCTTTGGTCCTTAAGATGCTATTCAAATGACACTTCTTTCCCTGAGCTCCCCACCACCTCCCTACACTCTGACACTCCTTTAATGCATTTTCTTTTGTTTTTCACGGTAACATAGATGTTTGCTCTCCTTGGCTGGCCCCATTCCTCCTCTTTTCTCTAAATCACAGCTCACATAGCTTTTAGGGGTTTCCCTTCTGAATGCGGCCTCTGGGTCATTACCATCAGTAGCATGTGCTAGGATACATTTGTGGTTATATAACTCCTGAGATGAATTTGCTTTAATACTCCAGATCGGCTCCTATTTTGGTAGTGTGCTGTGTGCAGTGGATGTGAACAAAGACACCGTTTCAGATGTGCTTTTGGTAGGAGCTCCCACGTACATGAATGACCTCAAGAAGGAAGAGGGAAGAGTCTACCTGTTCACAATCACAAAGGTAAAAATCAACATTAAACCAACAGCATGAATGACTCTAGTACTGATAAATAAGTTAATGTGAAATTTGAAGGGCAGTCATTATTCTGTAAATATAGCCAATTTTAAGTCACAGTGTATCATATATTTAATAAAATTCAAGGTGTTACCATCATTATAATTTTTTAAAGCATTAAAAGGCACTGAGTTTAAAATCTAATGTATCCATTTTCCACAAGAGGTCTATGGATATATGTTCCTGTGCAAATAAAGCCATGATAAGCACAAATAATTTTTGGCACACATGTACATATTAGTTCATATTCTAAGTGTCTTGTGTCATTCCTGTGAAATGGTAATACTCATGGGGCCTCTGACCTCTTCATTTCACAGTAAAATCCACTGTCCCAGCAACCCCAGTGACCTCCAGATGACCTAGAGTGCTTTCTACATTAGTCTGTCAGAAAATTCCAGTATTTAGTGTCCAGTATTTAGAGTACACGTCCAAGTCTTGGAATTTCATATCCTTGCCATAAAGCTGAGCTTACTCAAAGGGAGAAGGCACAGCTTTCCTAGCGTGTAGACAGAACTCTAAATCCATTTCAGCAGGAATCTGGAGCTCAGTGAGGACGGGAATAATAGTAAATGAAAGCCAGTGGTGGACACGGAAAACGAGACAGGCGTAGGGAAAGAGAAGTCAAGGCAGGGAAAGTTCCATTTAGTTGTTATGACAGTTTGTGTGTTTGGTGCTTGCTATACATTAATGTAAAAACTGACCCTCTAGCATAAGCAGTTAAAGTAATTGTAATTCTACATGAACACCTGCAAAGAAAGGAAATAGCTCCTTCTTGAAGGGTTTTTATTTTTTTAATCTCTAGTTTCTTTAGTGTTTCTTGTTTGCAAAATAGTCCGAACTATACTTAATTGTTGGAGATAAAAATAGCTCTTTAAAATTTGTTCTAGTTGATATTTGTATATGAATGATTGCTTTGCCTGCATGTGGATATTATGTTCACCACATCTGTGCCTGGTGACTAAGGAGATCAGAACAGAGTGTTGCATCTGCTGGAACTAGATGTGGTAATGGTTATGAGCCACCATGTTGGTACTGGGCAGTGAACACAGGTCCACTGCAAAAGCAAAAAGTGCTCTTAACCAACTCTCCAACCCCAATAATCCTGTCTCTTAATATTTTCTCTAACTCATGAAAAATTAATCTTCATACAATTACTATAAACTAGAAAGAATCAATACTCACAGTTTCCTGCTTGAGGCACTTTGCTTGCTTGCAAAGCAATTAATTATTTCCATACTTGAATATAAAATCTGAAGGAAAAACATTTATAAGAAAATGTCTTTTCTTCTCACAGAATCATTAAGTATTGCTTGTTGTGGAATAAAAGAGATGGAATTCATTTCTACCTCTTACCCCGTTACAGTTATGTTACTGTTCAGCAATTTTTAACTAAAATCTAGATTATCATGTTTCA